GCTCAAACTCACTTCAAACAGTACCGCCACCTGGTATGTCAAGCGACGAATCTTCGACATTTCGCGTGCCTTCAAGAACTTTAGCGGGGCAGGAGAATGGCAGCTTGTGCCCCCAGACTAACGCCATGTGAGCATGATGCTGAAAAGCGACTGTTGATCTACTGGTGTAAATTTAAGCGCTGTGAGGGCTGCACCCACATTTCGAAGTTGTTTGGTGGATGCGCGGTTAATAAGACTGAGACAAGACCGTGCGTGTTTCCTCAAACGACTTTCATCACCAAAAGTATTCCAGACGGAAATTAATGCAATGCGAACATGCTGAAAACTAGTTAGGGTGTCCATGTAATGGGCCCTCTTAGAAAAATAACCACATCAGACTAGCAAAGGTTAATTTGAAATTCGAGCAATTAGTGGGGGCATAAGCTGACGTACACCAGAAATATGGCCTCGTGTCAAAGAGTCATGCTTTTGCGATGGCGACGTTGCGGCTAGAAGGCGTGAGTTTGGAACGTTGATCTGGAAACAGTTATGGAGTGAGGTTCACCTGCAATGAGGTTTCGGGTTGCTAAAGGAGGGGATTGACCTACTTAATTCTACGCTGCCTAGACTCGAACTTGCGATCATCAGCAATAATTCAAAGTCTTCAATAAGAAACAAGAAAGTGATAATTTGGTTTGATAGAGGCTGTGCGAAAGTGGTGTTTTTTGCAGGCGACTTCTCCACAAACAGCAATACCGTGTGCGATGATATTTGTACTGTAAATGGAAAAGTAACTATTATAAGGTCAAATAGAAGGTAATTAAAATGGTTAAGTCAATTTCTTTGCAGTGTTCGTAGTGTAGCAAGACAGTCGTGTTTCGCAGCATCCCAATCGACACCGCTATCAATCACCTTCAGCCAATTCTTCAAAGTCAGCATCACGACAACTTCGTCAGGCGTCCAGCTGCCAGTGCACACCCACCAGCTTCGATTGGACCACACTTAGCATTTGAAAATTTATCAAGTAAACTGCGTGTTGATTTGATCCCAAACTCAACTGCGGCAGCGCAAAGTAAGCTGACCGAGAGTACTTTTGGCGCCATAACGACCCTTTAAATAAAATTATGTTGAAATCTTAACAAGCACACTGCATTCCCATTTCTGAGAGAGGTGTGCTGATCGGCCTTGAGTATCTCGCAACGCTCTATGACTCATGCTGCCCCTTAAGCCAGCCATTTGAGTTGGTTTCATCGAACCTGTTGGTACTGAGACACGCCATGATATTTTAAGGCCGTTATGGTCAAATCCGTTGTGACCACAAATGCAAGCTCGTTGCGGGACTTTAGAATCTGGCATGGCCCCAGTAAAATGACGGAAGACACCGAGGTGTGGGGGCAGTAGGGGAAACAAACACGCCATTTGTTTTAATCTACACAAAAATTTTGAAATCTCAGAGAAGCGCTTCTTCTTAAAAGCAGCGCAGTTAAAGCCTTGCACTTCATGCGCCATCCGAGGTGAGCGCTTTTTGCATGAAACTTACCCCGCTGTTTCCAGGTTTAAAGAGTGCAAAACCACTGGCCTGAATTCGCGACATGGCGGCTCTGACTTCGCTCACTCTCAAAGCGAATTTTTTTCCTCTGCTTTCGTTGCAAACTGTTTCATGTGGTCATATTACGTTAGTTTAGGTTTGGGTCAAAAGTGCCTACGACCTGGTGCCTGAAGCTTTCAGTGGATAAAGCTTTAGTAAAAGAAAGTTGCAGAATGCTTTTGCAAACTGTAACACCCAATAAACGGTGTGAAGGGCACAATCCACTCTTTCGTGTGCCAAATACAGTTGCCTTCTGGTGAAAAATAGGTATTGCGCTAAAATAAATTATTCGGAACAGATAAAGACCATTCACAAAAAACCATAACAATAGCAAGAATATTAATTATGCGAATTTGAACCGGGGTAGTGAAATGCAAGCCTCGTGGTGTACGAAAAAAATTATCTGGGATGGGACAGAAGCTAATCGCCCTAAAACTCCAAAAAAGATTGTACCTGGTAAGTTAAAGCATTTAAATAGGGTACAACAAGATGGACTGATGTTAGTTTTGAAAAAAATGCTAAAGAAAGTTATTTCTACAAATAATTCGTTTTATTTAAAATTGTGCTTGTTTTTTCTTGCTGTTAATGTGCACCAGCAAACTGCTCTAGAAAAAATAACAGTCCTGCATACTTATATTTTTACAGTAGTCCTAATATTTTAAAACCAGACAATTGTCGCTTCTCATGAATTACATCTGCATATTTCTCAGGTTTGTTATCCGTTAATGCTCTTATTTATTAGACATCAGTATTTTTAAATTTTTTTAATTCAAATTTATCTTGTTCCAAAAAAGTGTTTATAAAGGAACAGAGAAAATTAATAGACCGAATTTAAAGTCTAGCAATGAACCAGTGTCCCAAAGATCAAAAGTTTTCCTATAAGCTCCGAAATATAACAATGGTGGAAATGCCTTTTAATGTTCAGTTGATCTTGATGCTATTAAATGATGACATTAAAGTATTTTCTCATGACATCGATGAATTTTCGAGAAGACTTTAAGAGGTTCTGTGTGTGTTCCGGGTTCATTTGAGCAGTTCGGCAGTTCTTTTTTTCTGCTGAAGGCTTTTATCCTGAGTAATGTAAAATAAAAAAGTTTCGCAAGCATGTAAAAATTACCTGCTTTTGCATTCTTCTCGATCATCAACTTCGTCACCGCCATCTTCGAAGCGTGTGCACCAATCACAAACTGCTCTTTCGGATGGAGGAAATAAATCAATATTGCATCAATTTTCATTTTGACGTTCTAGTTCGTGTAACACGAGGCTCAAAGTGGTGTCTGTTGCATCAGTTCAAATTACCTGCTTAGTAGAGTAAGTCTAGCTCGCAATGCTTTATCATCTTTCGTAATCGTTCTTTCACTTATTATGAATCGGACACACAGATTGTGCTTCTTTTAGCCACTCGACGTTAAAAGTGAAACACTGAAACCTTGGGCTCTCCTACAGCCAAATTCTCTACTACACGCTCTGCCGTGTTTATTTTTAACATTCATTAAAGCTTGATGCATGCAACAGGTGCAGTAGTGCACTGAGGTCGTCATTAATTGACAAGAAATTGTAAAGGAACATCATACATTTTTCCAAGAGCCTTTGAAAGATAAAATTCAAATAGTTAGAGCTACCTTTCATCCTCACCACAATGCAAGACGGCGCAAAGGACTCTCGCAGCGCCACTACAAAAGGCAGAGTAGCACGTTCAGATGCACACACTTATGTATACTGTGGCAGACATTGACATCAAGTAGGATTGATCAACATAAATATATAAGTGGCGTGAAGAAAAAATGTAATTTGCCATTTTACAATAGGTTTAACGTTTTGTTTAATGTTGATTACCTTAGTTGTTTGTAAGAATCTTAATGATCACGTCATGCACTCAATGCAAGTTAATATTCAAAACATTTTTTTGGAGTTTTTGATATTCAGTATCCAAATTAGAAACTTAAGTATGGTGCTTTTTCCGTAATACAATAGTTTTGGTGTTGAAATACAGAATATGATCCTTGATTAGTGACTGAGGAAAATGAAACATTAATCAAATTTTAAACTAGAATGGCCCCTGGCTACAGTAACCGTCAACTTTACAAGCACATTCAATTATACGAACCTGACACGATCAAATGAACAGACAGCACAAATTTTGCTAACTTAGCTTATTCGGACGCGACTTAAATATGGTAGAGAACACTTTCCTTATTAAATAAAACAAGATAATCACACAGAATGCAACAAATGAGACATGTAATACAATATCATTAATGCCGAGCATAGCCAAACATGCCATTCCAGAAGCTATCACTTATATTGTAAAACCAACCTCTCATTTCAATTATTTTACAATTAATTAATCTTTAATCTTTTCCTGTCTTTTCTTAATCACTGCGTATCAACTTTTCATACCGTCAAAAGCATTGAGTATCATTGAAATTAATCTTAATCGGCTGTCCTTTTGTCGGTTATACACTAACATATTGTTTACACTTACCATGCATGTCAGCTTAAGAATAAGGACAGGATGGATGACAGCTAAATGATAAAACTAATTGCATCATAAAAATTCTTTTGAATTTTGAGACTTGTTCAAGGTCATTTAGTTCACGATATTTGTGCGTAAACAATTGGTCACGGCGAAGGTCGTTGGTTCTCTAGCCCCGTGTCTCAATTTAAAATTTTGTTGCAGCCTTTTCCTATTCCCCTGAAAATGGAGGCAGGTTATCCGTCAAATTTACTATTGGAAATCAAAAACACAATTTTTCCCGAAACCACAACTAACGTAGGGTCGTCTGTCCGTTTACGATCCAAGCCTATAATGAATAAAGTCAAAAAAATTTATGGTTCAGCATATATGTTAGCTAACATATCCAGAAATTTATCTTGTTGGTATGTTCCTCATGTTGCTCATTCAGCATGTAGTATTCAAGAAAATGGTTCGATTGCGTCGGTAATGGCACTTGTTCGCAATCGTCTATGTCACAAAAATGGGGTTACGAGTGATGGTGAGTCATAAATGTCTTTATACCATGATTTAACTGTCGCTCTTCGGACTTTAGCTACTGAATTTTTTATGCCACCACTTTTTTCGAGATTCTATATCTCATTGTTTCAAAAGTATATCGAATAATGTTTGTTACTACTTTATTTCACTGCTCCGGGATTTCATTTTGTTCAAGCAATAGGCATAGCAATTTTGATAGCTTTGCTTAACCATTTCTGACTTAAAGGCTTATGATATTGTCCAAAAATGTTGCAATACCGGCAAGTATTTTTTTTCGATTTACTTGATTTAGATATTATTCACTGCAGTTAGAGAAATTTAGGCAGGACATTGTTTAAGTCTGCCTTCGTTTTATGCTAACTACCGTCCATGACGGTCGTATCCTTACTAGCTATCTTTATTTTTAAAACTTTTGAACTACTGCCTTCTTATTTAGGATCTGGCTTTTGCTTGTTCGATGCACTTCAACGTCAAGGCATGGAGAATTTAAAACAGGCCCTTGTGGAAATCATTGCCGATATGGATAAAAACAAAGGTCTGACCTTGGAGAAGCCTCTGTCTAGGGTTAAACAAATTTCGGTTGCTTCCATTGTGAACAAACGCCGACGCCAGGAAGACAGGTGGTTTTTTGAACCCGACCTGGTTGCCTATGCGCCTCTGGAAACTGTAAGTAATTTGCTTTTGTTCCGAAGCTTGGGGCTTGTTTTAGGTAATCATTATTGACGTTTTTATCACTTCGCCACCATAGCGTCGCTGATTTTTTTCCTTTGCTTGAGTTTCATTTTGTAATGGTCCATTGTCGTCCCATGATTATGCGGACTCGTAAATTCAAGACTCCATATCCGCACCCACCCCTCACGGGCTAATTTATTTTAAACAATTTTCCTTTTTTCTTACTCATTAAATTGTTTATTTCAAGCATTTTTCCTTACATTCTATTCTGACCTACTTGTCTGGGGAACCTTGTTCAGGTTCCACTAACCGATATTAAAATATAAACGCAAACAGTCCTCTTGATTGTTGACAACCGTAAATCATTAGTGTGCGTGTTGTTTTGAAGAGACTGTTTATTGAAAAATTTCTTGTGTTACTGAGATAACAAATAATAACTTGAGTTGCGGATTTTTACAATTGATCACAAATGTTACTTCCAGCAGAAATATTGGGTTTCAGTTCATGTGTCCAGATGTTTAGCTATTGTTTCGAGCAGTAAGTCGAACGACATATGGGTACCTAGTGGCAAAGATACAAACATTTAACTAACAAATTGTCGTATGTTGGCAGACTTGCGTAAATCCGTTGTGTGTTCACTGGCGCTTTTTTGTCTGTACCTCAGTGCTAAATGATAAGGCAGTTGTGCACTTCATTTGTGCAACCTGAATTCTGCATTTTAATCTTGTTTAGTCAAAGCCTGTCCCTTTCCTAACAGGACACTCTTGTTGCAGTAAAACGCATTAAGTCTCCTGTTTTCTCCGTGAATTTCGCTACATGGTTTAAGTCCTAGTTTGTTAACTTGGATTGTTGACGCATGTTCACCCATGTGCTCTGTCTATTTAAAACTTGCTCATTTCGATCTTCTTCCATCCAAACGCTCTCTTTTCGCTGGGCGATTCGCCCTTGTCCTGCGTCAACTTCCCCATAAGTGTGCCTTCTACAAAACCTTGGCCTGCTGCTTTACTGATTCCGTCAATACGCATCGATAAAAAGGACACTCAATAACTGTAGTCTTTGCTTGCAAATATTGATCCATTGCGGACTCGGACTTAACCCTGATTGAGAATAATGGGTTTTTAGGTCAACTCTGCATCTTTGACTTGTAAAGCTCCTTGTCGTGCTAATTCACAGCATTAAGGCTTATCTGAACCCAATGGCTCGAAAGAGTCGGCGGTGTGTGTGTGTGTGGAGCCGTTTGATTGAATGTTCGGGGTCGTCATTGATTAATTATGATACTACCCGACTTCGGGTCGTATTGGTAACACAGTCTCAGTAAACTCGTTTAGTACTTCTGCACTGTTCCACTTCTCAAATTTGTTCACTGCTTCCAATCCTTCTAATCAGTCATTTTTGCTGTTCGAAGAGCATTTAAGTTGTTCACTCACTAACACCATTTCCGACCAGCTACTCTCCGCCTTTTTCATGTAATAATCATTCAAAGGAGGCCTCAAAAAGGAGCTTGTTAAGTAGGAGTAGGAGCATTTAAGGGCTGCGCATACATCGTTTGTGTTGCTGCACCCAAAGTGTTCTAAATGCAACAGTTCCCGTTTTTTTTAGAAAACCACCAATCTTTTCAATCCACAAAACACCTGCCTCTTTTACTGTAAAGCCTTCGCCCTGTTCCGTTTCTTCGTTGTCCATTATTTCACCTCAATTTCGTCTATCTAATCATTCATTTGTTGCCTTTTCTCGGGTATTTTGTACCATATTTTAGGCGTGCAGCTGACGTTATTAGATTTAAATGCTGCTTGTTTGCACAATTGCCAGTGCACCATGTATGCGCAACCGTGCTAGTTTATTTTCTGCGCATCTAACTTTAGATTCAGCGGTTTTCCACCCAACAAATCGAGTGCGGTGCTGGTTCCAATGGCTCTTTGGAGTTTTTGTCACGAAGCCCTTTTAATCACGTTTCTTCCCAGCTAATTAACTAAAAAATCTCAAACGAAGGCCATTCATCACGTTGTTTACTTTTTCACTATGTGTGCCACCAGCATAAATCTATTTATCACCCCACCCATTAATAGCAGAGTGCTTAACTGCTCTAGTCACACGGAAACGACGGGTTTTGAGCAGTCGGTCTTCCCTTGCACAGCAGCGTCCTTCCACAATAGTCTCCAACGCATCCATCGCCCATGACACAGCAGCGCGTAGTTAGGTCTTTCCGCAAACCCATGTCGCCAGCACGTGACGAAAGTCCCATTCAGCGGCGCATCACGTGGTGTACCACAAAAACCTTTTGACTGCCTAACAGGATTGGTTCTTTGTTTTCACATACTTCGATTGCGATGTGTGTCTGGTGTTTTATTTTTCTTAATATATAATTACAATGAGTTAGCCTGACCCAAGTGTAATTTACGCGCAAACTTGCCTCTACTTCAGGACGACAACGAAAAGTTGTCGAGGCTCAGGCGCCACGACTACCCCGAGGTAATCGGCTGCGGCGTCTTCGACGGCCACGGCGGACCCGAGGCGGCTGAGCACTGCTCGAATTTGGTGCCCTTTCTCCTGAGTCGTCGTCTCCAGAGACGCTTCCTCGAGACGTCCCACCTCCGGCGCTCCTCCGAAACCATTCCCGACATCCTCACTGGTGTCATTCACGAACTCAACTTCTCCATCGCCGAGTGCCATCGAAATAAAGTGCGTTTTTGCCATTCCGCACCGAGGTTGCACCGCATTGGTCCTTTGTGTGCTGTCTGAGCGTAATATCTTCACACATTTCAAGCGTTACCAATGTGTGTCTTAATAAGAGCGTAGAGGCTTGCTTGAGTAGATGACCGTAATGATTTCTTCCAGCAACCTTTTATTTCTCTACTCAGTTTTCAGCCACTACTTTTGTCTCTCGTTCACTGGGTCACAGAGCGAAGTTTGAGTGTATTGTTGTCACTTAACCCTCGTAGTACCAAATCGTTATGTTAAAGGATCCATCAGCTTACCCACCACTGAACGCCTCAGTACCAAGTGTTCCATGTCTGCTATACTTGAAATTTATTAGTACTTGTTATCATCGAGTCCTCTGCCTTCGCACTTTGTTGAAGCGTTTGTGCATAAAAGGCGTCCTTGAAAGTAATTTCTGTCCAGGTTTGCATGAGCCTCGAATCATTTCCTTATTTCCCCTCATTAGGCACAGCACTCTGCTTTTTGTCGTCAGGAGGCGTTTCCTGCAGTTGCAATTTGCCCTGCGCTCTGACATGCCGTAGACGCCAGCGCCCACGTGCAGAAAGCGCGTGGGCTATTTCTAGTCGAAGCACCGCCTTCCTGGCACCCCAGTGTTGATTTACTCCCCTGTATTTTTAGCCTTCTATTTCACCTCCGATTGTTTTTAACACGTTACGGCTTCATGCTCCTGCTCTTGTGTGGTGTGTGAACGTGTTTTTTTAGTCGACGCTCTCCCCCGATTGGTCAGCTCAACGTGGTCGAGTATCGGCACCGCACTTTACCTTTCTCCCATCTGCAAACGATTGTACCGCAGGAGTGATTCTTTTTTCCACTACCTCGTCTATTAGCTTTTCGATGTTTGTTCGTAAAGTAACACCTCCCGAGTTTTCGTTCATCGCTGAGGTTTCACCTTCTAGTGCTCCGTTGTTTTGTGGTTTTTATTTTTGATGCATCCCATTCTGATGTATGAAAATAGGCGAATGTAGCGACGTGTCAGTGGGCTTCCGGATTTGAATAAAACTAGACGCCTTCCAAATCGTGCTTTCCTTATGTAAATCAAACCTTAAGATGTCCACGTAGTCAACATAGCTCCAGCCAACTTATTAGTGGAACAGGCTCAATCTACGAAGCCGTGGCTGATTCCACCAAGCTTAGCGGAGCCTGAACCTTTTCTAGATTACACCTCGTGGCATGCGTGTTCTTCCCCTCAGTTCGGAAGACGCCATAATGTGTTGTATCGCAGGGTTCTCGGATGCCCTGCACGGTTTTTTACTAGTGTGCAACTTCTCCTACAGCGCGCGCCAAAGACGAATTAGCCACTGAGATCACATCTTTTGTGACGTGGGTCCCTGCATGATTCACTGTGGCCATAACTGGGCCTAACCGGCACCACCAACGCAACTCTCGGCACAACTGTTTTACTTCTAGTGGTAAAACTCAAGCTGTAGGGCCTTTTGAAGTTTATGCATTTCTTCACCAGAAGTCACCAAAAGGCATTTGCGCAATGCGTTGGCCGCAGGTTCCTCGAGCTACCTCCTCGCCAAAATTTCCTACACTTGCCTCGAGCATGAGTCATTCGCACGTGGTTGAATGAATGATGCGTCTTCCACACTTGGCACGGATGTTGTCTGCCCTTTACTAACCCAAACGGTCGGGTTACTTGTGGCCCGGCCGCGGTCCTATCGGGACGCCTCAGTTAGATTTTAAAGTCAAGTAAACTCTTCAGTTTATCAAGTAAGGACACCGTGGAAAGCTGTGCTCCATGTCAAGCGTACCCTGTACAATGCTCCCACTCACTTGGCTTTGGTGCTCTTGGGGGAATAGTGGGCGGGAGGGGGGTTTACGACACTAACTCCAAACGTATTCTGATTGCGACGGATTTTTTGCACCCACCGGATTCACCTTAGAACGAAGTCTGTCGCGATTTACGCGTTCTAGCTCATTCACGCTTTTATTCATAGGCCTGTCTGCGCCTTTTCTGCATCCCAATAACTCGCACAAGGGTATTTCTGCGAACGTAATTTTCCTACAATCATCCAATAGCCAGCCTCGTGGACTTTCCGCTTCTAAGTTTAAACAACGGGCTTTACCGCATGCCCATGAGAGCTTGTTTACTAGTGTTTTGGTATTCGTATCTTCCTTTTCTACGTGCCCGATGTGTCGTGTTTTTCTAAAACTGTCCTTCACAACATCTGCCGATCCGATTGCGTCGTGTGGTCGCGCGCCTGTTCTCCATGTCATCGACGGTGACAACACAAGCACTAAGCCGTAAAGTGACCACTTAACTCTCCATCTGTTCTCGTAGCAAGCGGCTGTGGCGGTCGGTTGTCTGCGGCTAGCCGATGTGATTGGGACAGTCCGAAAGGCATAGTTGGAGTGGCTATCCTAATGACCCCTCCCTTTCTAACATGCTGCTCTTCCAACGTCTCCCGTCTTCCCACTTTTAAATCACGCTGCCCCATCCTGCTGTGTCCAGCTAATGTTTGAATGCGCCGAATTTGAGATCCACGCTAATTGCATTCGTGCAAGGTCATGAGCCGCCAAACTGAGGCCAAGAAGAGGCGTTTGTTGCCACGGGAGCTGCCTTCCCCAGTGGCACTTTTTGTGTGGCTGCAAGCTGCCGTGACGGGTGTCAGAACACATGGTCTCTCACCCGCGCCTCGTATTAGCCTTGCGCCAGCCACTTTCACCACTACGGTCCGTTTGCATGGCCGTTTATTTATCATATGGCCTGTGACACATGCATGCACGCACGCACGCACGCACCAGTCCAGTCGACTCCAAGGCTCGTTATTTACTCTTGTTGACATTGCAACACAAAACTGGAGCTGCCATGTTCTGCCCGCCAGCACGTCTGTTCTAAAGGCGTCTGAATCACCCACCCGAAACCTCATTTCTCGGGAATGCGCTAGGCGGAATGCGCACTAATATATTCTCTTTAAAAATGCACACCAGTTGATGGGTAAAGAAAACAGCTTTGCAATAATCCATTATTCCATTCTGCTCTATCCAAATGCCTTGTGATGACCTCTAAAGCACTAAGACAGTTTTTTTATTTGACTGGCACCGGTCAGTACCACCTATAGGGTTGCGTTGCATGGAAAAATTCGGTAGAGCAAATTAACTTCGCGGTTCGTTAATGACTTAAAATTCTCACACTTCAGCGCCAATATCAATTTCTTCCCGTTGTGGGAATTCCTTCCCTTGTCAGGCGGTGGGCAGTCAGCTGGGTTTCGTGTCACGTGACTGCGACAAGCGCGTGCGCACGTGATCGCGACTGGTTGACCTCCTTGATTTGGCCATTTTACGAGAGTGCGCGTCTCAAGCATTTGTCACCTCAACGTGGGACAGTCATTCCAACTTCCCCTCTGATTCGTCATGTCATCCAAGAATGTCCACCCCGTGTCCCGACCTTCGAGGGCTTCAGGCAAAACGACTACTAATCATTGTATGACCTCCCAGTAGTTTCTAGTCAAGTTCTAATTCGTGTGTGTCTTCTACTTCTTCGCCCAACTGTGTACAAGTTTGTCCCTGGCACCGATGCCCAATTACACACTCCACCTGATAGTTACCATCAGAAATGCCTCTACATTTGCTATTTCACACTGTAGTAAGCATCGATTCATGCCATTTACGCCACGCTGCATGTCTAGGTTATTTTGTTTGCCCTGTGTGTCCCGTAAGCTTTGTTCTTAAAATCGGCAAAAAATTTTTTTGCTAGGTGACGGGATTGTAGCCTCCCTCGAATGCCCATAATGTGGTTCGGTCCTGTAAAAACTGCTTAGCGTGCACCCTTCGTACTTCCCCTCCGCGCCCTCAACTGATCGCATTAATGCAATCACGTCTGCGCCACGATCGTGGTCACCGTGTTCCTCTATGCGTGCGTACCTTGACTGGCTCTTTTTTTTCGTCCCATTGCATAGCGGAACACCTGCATTTGTGTGAACTCAATACCTTCGAGGCTAGATAATGTTTCAAAAACTGATATCCTCAATAAGATGGCGTGCATATGTTCGGGGTCCCCCGACACTGTCAGACGAACTCTCTGAAGCACCGCAGCTGTTCTCTCACATTCGACTTCATGCCAGGTGTATTGAAATGTATTAGCCCAAAAATGAGGGATTATTAATCCTCTTTGGGCGAAACCCCCTCCGAATGGGTCTTACTTCCATGTACTTCCCTCCTGACAGAAAATTCATTAAGCGTGAAAGTTATTTTGCGCGTTCAGGTGCTTTGTAAACACTCATAATCATTTGCCTTGGCAATAGCTGCTGCCGTCAGCGCTGCGTTTTCATCCCGTTTTCGTCACGCGTGAGATTCCTTTAGTTCACACGCCCTCACCCGCAACCCGTGGTGTTTATGCAGGTTCCTGCGCGTGGGCTTCCTCCACCCCTTGCACATTGAACTGATGAAGTTTTTTTTTCAAATCGGGCTTCTTCCTTCCTGGATTCCAAACTATTCACCCATAATTGATTGTGACAGGCGTGCGTGAAGTCCTGTCAAAGGCAACGTACACTTTGCCGCTCCGTTACAGTGCCACCTACAACCTCCCTCTCACGGTTTCCACCACCACCACCACCTCGAGCTACAGGGCGTATCTTCTGGTGGCAGATTCGGCTATTTAAGTTTGAGTGTTCATATTACAAGTCTTTTGCAACTCTCGAATCATCGTGAAGAAACTGGAAAAGTAGTGGACTGTGGATTTTAACTGTGTATTCGTTATAAAACGATTCCCTGTCCCCCCTCCCCAACAGCATGCTTAAGGTTTGATCGGCAGCGCACTTTTTCTCGGGCAAAATTTTGTGCCTAGTTTGTTTTCAGAAACCAGATAGCCGTTTACGGTTACTTTCTGATATTCGTCTGTGAAGTAACCATCTTGTAGATCTAACTGTTCATTCCTCACGCGTAAGTTTTTGATTCACACATTTCATTGTCTCACGTCTCCGTGTCTGGCGTGAAACGTAGCCTCGTTTTACTACGAAATGACCGGCCACTATGCGTCCACAGGGCATTTGGTCGGAAGAACTCGGTGGGCCTTAAATGCGATCTGAATTGCTTGTTGTAGCTCTGGAGCTCGGGCACCACGGCGACAATATGCCTGGTGTACGGTAATCACATCTACACCTGTTGGATAGGCGATTCGCAGGGAGTGCTCTTCACGACCACCGATGTCAAGACTAAGACCAAATCAGCGACCACGCAGAATCTGGAGGAGACGGCTGCACTCGAAAGGCCAAGTAAGCCTCGACACGACCTCGTGTCCTCAGGAGCTTCAAGCATCGAAGAAACGGAAAAACGCAAAAAGATTGGTCATGAGTGTGTAATCCAGCCAAGTCCATTGAATTTGCAATCAGTGGATGCTCCTACCAGCAGCGCCGCCGCTCTTGTGTCGCCCACTTCACCACGAACACGAGCCACGCGATGGGAACTCTCCTTCTCCTGGCTAACCTCATTGGTTCGAGGGAGCAGCAACAGCAGCAAGGAGTCGAGCCCCTCCGAAGTGCCGCCGACGTCTCCACGCCAGGGCCAAGTGCGTGCGCCCCTTGCCACGCAAGAGGTGGCCGAAGAACTGGGCGAGGATGTGGCGAGGGAAACTTCTCCTGCACCCTGCCGCTATGGCTCCTTGCCCACGAAGAAGGTAGTCACGATGCGTGAGCAACAGCAGAGTAAGGTGCCTGTGCGTGCCACATCCAAGCGACTGAGTGCGCACTTCTCGGAGCCCTCGCTCGCTGCTCCCACCGAGAAGTGGCCAGAGACGACCCCAGCACTCTCCGCCGGGCATCGAATCAGCCCAACTGGCGACCTCCGTGGTAGTCGGTCGACTTCGGTGGTGGAAAAACCACCATCATTGCCTGCGCCTTGCTTCAAGGTTCTAACTCCCTGTCTTCATCGTCCCGAGCATCCGGTAAGTGTGCACATTCGTTGCTCTAATCTTGGGATTTTCTTATAGCAACTTTAATCGTAATCAGTTCAGATATAATCTAGAATAGCTCATTTCGAACTGTGCTTTACTTTTAACTAAAGAAGTGGTGGTATTTTCAACATGGCTTGTAACATTTCATGCCATGTTGCATCAACATCATTGCGGCGGACAAAATCCCTTTTTTTGGGCTTCCTTAGGTTGAGTTCGTCTCAGTTTTGCGTACCGGTGGTTGTATCACCTTTAAACCGTCTATCGAAGTTGACTGCGAGACTAATTCCAATGAAGCCCTACGTACCGATTGCACTCCCTCACCTGTAATGAGTAACGCCCAACTGCTCTACGTTCCCGATCTCTCAATGGGCGGCGTCTATCGCGTCGGGGGCATATCGGGTGTCACTCGCTCTCTTGGCGCCAGCAGCTCAATGATTCCCGGTCTCTCTGACCTTCCCTCCCTCTCTGTCCACCGTCTCTCCTGTGTCGCCACGTGCCTAATCCTTGCCACGGACGGGCTCTGGGACACTTACGGCTGTTCTCCCGCCGACCTCACGCACTTCTTTAGCGGCACACCGAACCGTGAGTTCGCCAAACTCCTGACCGCCCGCGCTGTTCGCAACGGATCCACCGACAACGTGACCGTTCTCATCATCTGGCTATCCGAAGCCGGTGAACTCCATGAGTCCGTGCCAATGGAGCCTGATCTGCGTTCCCCGTGTGCCTACTCCACGGGCACTCGCTTTGCTTCAGTGCCTTGTCTGGGCGACACGCGATTGCGGGGCACAGTTGGAGGTGGGTTCTCCGATGGGGAGCCGTCTCTACCACGGTACGTCGAGCCCCAGGAACGCCTGCTCTCCAGAAGTCACTCGGTGGAGGATTTAGCAGACGTAGATCGGATCCGAGCGTCCAGTCCGATGCATGTCGTTCCCTAGTGTGTGTGTACTTGCCTACGTGTCTTTCAGTCTCTTATCTCGATGGTGTGGTGTGTTCGCATTTGTGTCACGTGCCCGAGTTCCAGTTCTCGTTTCTCGGTTGACAGTTTTTACTGGTACACTGCGCCAGAGGTCTTCTCGGATGTCTTAAAACCGACTAATAAATGACTTTTGCACAGCCGCCCAAATTTTGTTTTGTTAATCTGGCTATAGCGACTATTTATGTGGTTCTAGAATTGCCGTCTGGTTTGGAGTATAAGCTGTAATGTGTTGCTAACACTTGTGGTAGTTGGTCTATAGAATCTCTAGCAGATGCATCTTGGGCAAAATCTCGTGGTGACTATAATAGTTTGCCTCGGCTGTGACTCATCTAGATGGAATGTGAAGAAAAACAAATCAAATTCGGTGGTTAGTTGTCACTCAACTCCCCACTCGTGATTCTGGTATAACTGAAGATATCAACTTATGTAGAATTAAGGTGACGCTCGGTTTTAACCCTGGATTGACGCTGATGTGTGGTAGACATTTAGGTAATTCCTTAGTCAAAAACAGTGAGGGCTTACAAGTTTCCGCAAGACGCAAGTTCTCAAGTTGTGCTTCAAAAGCCTTAATTGCTTACTTCTGAAAATACCGGTATGCGGCGAATCGTGGTGGTTTGCGTCCATCGGCCAGGTCGTCGCACACTCAGACCCTCCTCCCTCTCCTTTTCACGGCGTCCTTTTCGATCTTGCGAAACCCTCCCCGCATACACCCCTGTACATTGCGTTTCCTCGCTACTCATTCCATCATTTGTACCTTTACAAGTTCACGCAGACAGAGACGATTTCTTAGTCGAAGTGGCGTGATTGTCACAATTAGGTTGAGCCATCTGGCAAACGATCGAGTTTCCGCCGTCTCTAGTCTTCCTTATCTTCATGGGTATCTGCGTAATGTAATCGGGCATGTAGTAGATCGTACTGATTCACGTCCAGTAATCTGGTTGCCGCACTCCCCCCGCCACTCAGACCTCATTTTCTTATTCCTCGAGTGAACCTGTCTGCTCTCGCAACCCTGTGCGTGTACCAGCCCACACTTCAGGCCACTCAGCCATGTGTACTTTTGCAGAATCACCCAGATTGTACTGGCCAACTACCCCTCATTATTGAGCTACAACATTTTTTACGAAACAGTCACAATTGAGCTGATACAGCCAATAGACGGTTGACTCTCTCTCATTCGCGTCTTGTACTGTGCCGCAGTAGGGCCAATACAACGCGGTGGCCCCGGTGTGGTTGAAGGCTACATGCCGGGACCTTCGACAATGGGTGACCTCGACCTTGACCTCACATCGAATTCCTGTGAGCTAGAACTTTACGGTTTTCAGGCTTTTTAGACTAAAAAGATTTCCATTTTACTAGGAAATTTCATGAAAATTACAAAAGAAATCAGTGGTGCAATAAAATGACGGTCGGGCCAATGAACATTCTCCTTACTTTTAACTTTTTCCTCAAACGCGTCAAGAAGCTTTTCTAATAATGGGTAGTTTGCGTTTATAACATCTGGGGCTTAAATTGCTTTTATAGCATGAATGTTTGATCATGCTGTTGTCTAATAAATACTTGGTTTAATGGCGGCTCATTTGTTCATCGAGAACTCTTTTCATGAGTGAATTGTAGTGGGCATTGCATGATGGATGACACGTTCTAGTGTGTCCATTTATCTTATTCCAACGCAGTCGTCTTTTAGCGTGCACTCCTGTGGCCAATTCGCGCTTTCTCTAGGGAAAGATCGGATTCACAGGAGCTGACCTTTGGTCTACAAACACAAGTACTCTTGTCAGTTCTACCCAGAAATCCAGGGCTGCATTGTGTAAATTGTAACAAATTGCGTTCTATTCAAATTGAAACTCTGCTCAGTACTGACTATAAATGAATCTTTTAACAATATTACTAGCATACAAGGCTGCATTTACTAATTACGCGTTGACTTCAACCTGTTGTGTTGTGACGCAATGAACTTACCATACGGTTTCGTCAAATACAACGCTGCTGTTTAAGCAACTACATGAAAACAAGCAAAGCTGTGGTGAGAGGTTGCTGCTGAGCCGGACACTTCGGCCGCCGTGCCCCTGGAATGATGGACTGACGTGGGGACGGCAACGGTGGTCGTTATTTCGGCCACCGGAGTGCATGCGGGAGCGAATCAATGGCACCCAAGTGCTGGCGTCAGACGACAGCCAGCCCGCTGCACTCGTTTAAAATATTTCAAAATACACTGGGGGCGGCTGCGGTGAACCGCACGTGGCCCACACTCGGGGTTCCCATGCTTCCCATCGCTTTCATTCTAAAACTTGTCAATTCAACTTCTTCCACGACATACCTCTCCGAATTACGCCTCCATCATACCGGATGGTCCTTTTCCCAGCTTGAATTTTTTTTACTGAACGTTATAAAATGAATGGATGGGGCTGCATTAGTGTTTCTGTTTAAAGCTGAATTTCCATTTAGTGTAAATATTTGTAAAAGTTGTACATCCTGGTCGTGTGTAGCTACCAAAAACCTTGATGCATTAAAGTAAACAATTTCGAAGGCCATGCAGAGTATGTATTAGTATAGGAAGAACTAACAGTAAGTATTTTAACCCAGATAGCCACCATTACCAAAGTCTCTCGTTTTTTGGTCGTGGACACGATCTTGCTTAGCTGAAGTTTATTAATAATTTGACTCGAATACCAGCTATGGGTATTAGGCACTGCCTTAACTTGTTTAACGCTAGTGGAATTACTTCGGGCTATTTGTGATATGACCTCAGATTTGATGAGATTGCCTTTTCATGGGAAAAAAAGCCCTTTTAGCTGGATTAGTACAAAGGGTGCTGCAACTCTTGGTAGAAAGGACTTGTAGCACATCGAGTGGCCTTAAAACCCACCCGTGGTCAGTGTCCGAAGGCGGTGATTGAAGCCGCACAGTCTGATAGCAAATTTAAATCACACAAGATAGCCTGGGGATGGACACGCCTATCAACGGGGGCCTTTGCTGAGTGACGGAAACCCCGATTGCAGAATGAACTAGACTGTATAACCGTAATCATTTTTGTTGATCATTTATCAGCGGGTCTGACTTAGTTATTTGTATTCAGCTTTTAATTTTCCAACAGTTCGACCACTTTCAACAGCTCACCTCACTGTTAACCACTAGGACTTGATTCTGCAGCGTTGTTGTCGGTTGCTTGCAAAAAAGGGACTTTAAAATTGAACTTGTCTTATTGTTTTGTGTCTGTCTTTACTCAGCTTGTCTCTATGTGTGCAAAGCAAATTGTTTACCTGCTCTTTTTTGAGTCTGTTTTGGCAAAAAAAACATTCATCTTATTTGCCTTCGTTTTTTACCCAAGAACTTACAAAGCAATTTAGTCCTAATATTAAACCCGTTACGAATGTAAGGTAAAATAATGCGACTTGGTGTTGAAACTTTTAAGGCGCCTGTAATTTTAAAACAACTAATTGATCCTCAGTGATTCGTAAACACATTGGGGAAGCGAAATTGCAGCAAGTGCTTCAAAATTTGATCCTGCAAGAGCTTGATGTTTATGAGGCAACTAAAATTATGACTGTTTGGATGGTATCATATTTAGGTTTCAAGATTTTTAAATCCCAACTTCATAAAAACGAAAAATAATTAAATAATGAGCCAATCCATTGAAGGTCGCCGCCATAAGAAGAGCATTATCTCGCCTTGGATGTAGTATTTTGGTACGTGGTGTGTTGTAAATCTCGTTGATTCACACTCGTTAATCCGGTTGCTCCATTCAACGAGACACTGCGTCTACGTCTTCTCCGGTTCCCCTCTTCATCGTAATTCGGCCAGATTCAACTCAGTGGCCCCGCATTTAGAATAATTCATTGCGAGTTTCGTGAATGCAAAACATGTATTATATATATCGGGCGTCAAGAACATGGACAATCCCGCCATCAAAGTTCTTCAAGGAACATAGTTGTCCATCAGTTCAGGGAACGTCGGGAGCGATTAAAGGCATGGTCACTAGTTGTAAACCAGTTGCGCTGTATTTTCCTACCGCGTCAGACTCAATAACTGTTGAAGCAGCGATGTAAATTCCGGACCCAACTGAGGTCAACAGATTGCTTCAGTCCACTTTCCCTTAGAAAGTTCAATAAGACCCGGCGTAACAGGGATACTATTGTTTAGTTGATGTCTTAAATTAGCGTGCTCCTGTCTGGATACACAGTCGTGTGTCTATAAATCATTTATGCTTGTGGTGATGGGTGTACAAAATAGAGCAAAGAGATGTCCACAGAAACTATGAGGTGGCTGTGAATGGGGCTGAACATATTCAAGGACAAATGAAAAATGTTGAACTACTATGTTTTACTACACACTCATTACTCTCTATGATATTCACCGTTCCTGGAAAGATGTGTGGATATAATACGTTTAAAATGGACCTAACTTCATCAATAATCGTTTCTCTCAATTATATATAGTTAATTCTTCGATTTTCCTTGCAAATACAGATTAAATAAGATACAAACAGTCCAGACAACCTTTAAGACTCCAACTCTTAAAATCTAACATTTTAAATATTTACTCGAATTTTTATTAGTATCTGGTAAAGGGTATCATGACCGTGAAATTTATAAAATCAGGATTGATCCAGAAGGCATATTACGTTAAAAATAAACTAAGTGGAATTTCTGTGTTTAAATTTCTGACTTGAAATTAAATCATTGAACGTTTTTCATTCACTTGTGTATAGCATTCTTAATAGCCTCGACCAAACCAATTCACTATCCATAATTTTTTTAGCAATAAATTGTTTCAACTTAACTGTGAAGGAATCCAAAATCCCAGATTCCAGGTCTTGGTCAGGTATGTGCAATAGATTTTGATTCAGGTTAAGTTATATCAAACAAAAGCGTAACCGCCTCACACGGATGAATAACATTTTGCTTTCTTAACGAAAGTAGAAAAATATGTGTTTGATTTAATCAAAACTTATCGTACTCTACCTCGCTCAACTAACTTCATCCACAATTTAAACCTAACCGAAAGATATACCTAACGCTAAAAGAGGTGCCTGCATTCAATTGCTGATTTTTTGCCTGATTAAGTGTCTTTGTATTTAGTAAGGGTACGATATCAATAGACAAGAGTTGACTTCAAGACTTACAAATATGATTGGTAATTATATTGGCTGGAATTGCAGTAAGCTGGATAATACCTACCCAAAGTAAAGAAGAAGAAAAGGAGAATTTTCGCATTAATTTTCCAGTGCAAATAGTCTTTATATAACGTTGTCTTTGAAGTCCTAGATTCATGAAGGTCTATTCTGAACCCAAAAACTTTGAGGAAGAACACTCTTGAAGTGAATGGATACGTGGCGTGTGGGGCATTAATCTGAACAGTTACCCGTGATACCCTGTGGCGTCGGATTAGGGCGCAGACATGTTGGACCACCTGGCCTCAGCCAATCCCGTGTCTCTCTGCGATCCAATGGCA